TTCAAGAGAGCAGTTATAAAGACAGTGTCACCTGCTCTCCGCATATAAATCTCTGTTTTCCCTCTATATCTCTGGTTTCAGATGGAAGTCTAACAGCCAGTTTTTCCACTCTGTTCTTCTGAGAGCAGCACGCTAACGCGGATGGTGTTTCGCTCGCACAAAAGATTCACAGGACTAATTGCCAAGGAAAGCCGCACGGATCCGTGAGAATAAGGACACACACAGATGTTAAGGCGTACACATGGGTGCGTGAATGTGGCCCACACACGGAGGCACATGTATTTTTCCGAGTGTACATGTGGAGACAAAAGAAAGCAGGTTTTTTTTTGCACAGAATGCACAAGGCTTGAACAACTACAGAAGCTTCCATTTTTGTTGCAGAAATCAGGACTATGCCCTTAAAAAAGGGGTTCTGTAGCTGAGTTGCAAAAGAGAAATCAGATCAATAGCTATATATCTTTCATTTACCTTTTACTCTATTTAAAGCCAAAACAGTTTGTTGTTTGGTTTAGTTTTAGTCCATAAGAACAAAAAAAAAGAAGCACTAATCTTTACATTTACATTTATGGCACTTGTTAGACACTTTTATCCAGAGCAACTTAGTGTGATCATTTTACACAACTAGACAAAGGTATGAGTCTTGCCCATGGACTCTTTGCCCAGGTGGGGAATCGAACCCCATTTTTTAGCTCAGAGGGCGAAGGTGTTACTCACTACACTATACCAACAATAATAATAGCAACACTTTATTTATAGTGCACTTTTTATACTGGTGGCAGCTCAAAGTGCTTTACAGGCAGATGATATGGCATGAGAATAATACAAGAAATTAAAGTTTGATTTCTTTTATTATAGTAAGGGTGAATTAACAATGCTTGAGACATAAAGTCAGTTGGGACAGTACAGCTATACAAGGTTAATGTTTTTGCCTGATGAGTGAAAATGTATTCTTTGAGCCCCAGCTGTGAAACCATGTAATCAAAATTGCATGCCCTCATTGGTGTGACATCACATGAGTGGGCAGGGCAAGAATCAAACAGGAAGTTGACCCTGCAACATGAGGTGAGGAAAATGACAAACTTTAGCTTTTTTTTCATCCTAAGGTTATAAAATTGTCATAGCTAATTTACTGCACAAACATGAAAACAATGCACTACAACAACAAAATCAGTCAAAAATTTGGTATTATCTTTTTTCTATTTTTGGAAGAAGGTTGTTTTTATTTGGCCTATATTTGGCATATATTTATTTTATATTAGCATGGTTTTGGGTGCTTGGGGCAGTGCTAAAAGGCTTTGCTGAAGAAAATGATCAACCTGGCAATAAAGCCAACCCAAACATAACACTAAGTTTTGCCTTGGCCTCTAAAAACCCACCCCTGACAAATACTGATTAATCTATTGCAGAGTAGAATGGCACCAGCAAGACAGGAAGAGAGATACGGCAGACAGCAGACGGGAGAGTACAAACAAAAAAGAAAGAGAAAATACAAGAAGTGGAGTGAGGACAGAATGAAGGGAGCCAATGAAGAGTACAGGGAGATAGCAGAGGCAGGGAATACACCCAAGTCAGGGTTCTAGGCCAGGGCCTGGAACGTGCCAACATCAACTCTGCAGAGGGGAGTGAAGGGAGTTGCAAAGGGCTACAATCACATTGCTGGGAGCAAGTCCCACATTCCCCAAGGAAGATGAGGCCCAGGTAACAGAGCTAGTCAAGGATCTGAACAGGGGAGGGCTCCCCATGAGAAAGCCTGAGATACAAGTTCTTGCCACCCAATTTGCAGAAGCCAACGGAATAAAAGGCCTTGCCCTTAAAAAGGCAGGTCACTACTGGTTTCGAGGATTTCTAAAGAGAAACCCTGACCTCAATATGAGGAAGCCAGAGGCACTCTCCTCTGTCTGAGCAGACTGCTTCTGTGCAAAAGCGCTTTGCTTCTTACAGTCAAATTAATACTGAGGTCGGGATCCAGGACCTCCCACAACACATCTGGAACTGTGATGAGACAAGCCTACAGGACTGCTTCCTGTCTACAATAGTTTTGGCAGACGAGGATCACCTTGCTTTGAAATCACTGCAAATGAGAGGGGAGAAACAACAACGCTGCTAGCGTCTCTGAATGTAGCAAGAAAGTATGGTACACTACTCTTCATGTTCAAAGGCAAAAGGGCTGACTGGTGTATTGGGGCACCAAACAACACCCTTATTAGAATATTTGACAATGGATCAACTCTCAGGTGTTTTGGACTGGGGAAAGCAGTTCATAGCCCACCTGCCCAAAGAAGACCCCTGTCCACATGTGTTGCTGCTTGACAGACACCGCAGCCATGTGTTTAACATCAAGTTCCTTACTCTCATGAGAGAAAACAACATGCATGTTATGTGCTTCCCTCCACATAAAACCTATGCTCTCCAGTCAGCTGAGAGGGCACTCTGTAAAAGCTTGAAGCACCACTGGAACCTGGAAAGCCTGATTTACACCAGGCAGAGTGGTGGAAGAAAGTTGTAGAGACCCGTCTTCCTGCCCCCTGGTCTCAAAGGCCTGGAAAAGTGCAGCAACAACACAAATTGTATAGGCTGGTTTCAGGGGCAGCGGGATCTACCCACTAGATCCCACCCAAAAAGACCAAGCTCTGTTTCCTCCAAGTTTGACAATGGAATGGTATGAGGCACCTCTGAGAATTAGGGGACAGAGTGTGAAGGAAGGAGTTTTTGTGACAGTAAGGAAAGGCAGCTTTATACTGTATGAAGTGTGGATGGATTTTTAGACCTTCAGTAATAAAGTTAAACAGAAATGAACATAGAGCCTTAATCCCAGTCACCCAAAGGTCCTGTCAGATCACCCAAATGTTAGAAAAAACAAAGAGGGTATGTCTTCATGTCTTCTTAGAGTACATTATAAACCTCCTTTGCTCCTTAAATAGAGAACATCTTCAGTGTTACAGAAATGTATCATGTGTTGGGCTAATTCTTTTAACTTATTGCAAGAAAGCTTGCACAAGGTGGAAATTCAAAAATTGTCCCAATCACTCTTAATTCTGTTTGGTAACTATAACAAAAGGGGAAAATTGAAGTTAAGAGTATCAATTTAAAATGATATGAAGCAATAACAGATCAAATTTAAAAAGATAAATACAAAAGGAGAGGTAGAAATTTAATAAAAAGCTACATTAACAATACGCTGAGCTTGACTGCCTTATAAAGATGCAATTTGGTTCCACAGTTTAGAGGCAGAATAACAGAAGGCCTCCCCTTGCTTTCTGTACTTAACAGAAGGTACTGGCAGATCTAAGATCATATGCTGGAACAAAAACAGACAGAGATACACAGGTGCTTTAAGGCCATTTAGAGCTTTAACAACTAGTTTAAGCTGAGCTTGTATACTTTTTTAAAAAAAGTAAAACTGAAATGATGTATGATTTGATATGCTTTTGCGTAGGAAAAGTAAAATCAATCTTCTCTGACCACACTGGGGATGTATTTTAGTGAAAAGTGTAAATAGGTTCCAGCAAAAGTATATCCAGATACAACCAAGACACAAAATACGTTAATGCAACGCGTTGTGTTTTGTGTTTCAAGAAACAGTCATAATTCAATTTGCACATTTTCCAACCTTTCTTTACATCCAGGCTGTTTTTATTACTATACTTTTAAAGTCTAACTGAAATCAAAATGGAACTTTTTTGCCTTGTTAGTTCATGTTCTTGGTCACATTAAGCGCAATCCGTCACATCATTCAAAAGACAAAGAACTCTCTCTGGCATCTTTGATCAAAGTGTAGTGATTTTTGCCCGCCTCTAAGCATCGTCTGACATTTGGTTACATCACTGTGTTCCAGTGATGTAAAAAAATTACACCAACCAATAATATCCTAGCAGGTTTTTCCTTCTCCCTCTCACCACCCTGACCAATCATCAACGAGAACACCTGACATCATCTCAGCTTCCGGCTGCACATACATGTATATCAGCAGACAACCTCCTTCATTCTCCTCACTTAATGCTCTAACTTTTGTTTTTTGGACCGGTTGTAAAATAATCATTCAGTTTGTTTACGCTGGCAAACTGTTCATATTAATACAAGTAGTTCAAATATCTCAGTATTTGCGCTGTTTTCTAAAGTGTTCTGCTGCACTGTGAGGCCGTGAGGAGGGTCAGCTGATGATGAAGTGACTTGCGCACACATACAGTCACACACAGTTCACTCTTCCTCACACACATTAGGTAGTTGCACAGGTTTATTTTAACGATAACCTTCTTCCTGCGGTCTTTTTCTCTTGCTTTTACTGTAAAAGGGAAAGAAAAGCAAAAGCTATCTAACTGGTGCTTCACCAAGTCTACACCATAAAATATATATATATATAAAAAAAAACATAATTCAAGCATTTAACAAATAATGATTTCAGAAAATACAGAAAATGCACATCAAAATATTTTAGTGCTTCATTTTTTGACATCTGTTTATTTGTATTTTTTTCCTTTGACTTTTCTGCAAGGCAGATGGATTCTGCTGACCGTCAGTGTCTGACTTCTGCTTTTCATGGTCCAGTCAAATTATGAAGAATAAATTCATGTCCTGCCCACAATTATTTTCCGCCCAAATATTCTGTTTTACTCAGTAATACGTCCTGTTAAAAGGAGGACAAATTCGCTGTGATTTCCAATTTACCCTGACTTTAAGATGGGTATATGTAAATCATATCTTCTGTAATTGGCTGTCCTGTACTGTGTCTCAGTCCAGACTGAACACTCCACTGCTATAGGTTGAATAGGTGCACATATTAGGTTGAATAGGTGCACATATTAATGACATCACAAAAACAATTCAAAATGATCTGTTTTTGCAGCGTTTACATACATCATCAAACTCTTTTAGTTTAAAAAAAGAAAGAAAGGAAAATCCCTTTTTTACTGTTATGTCCCCTTTAATACACGTTTATGCTTTGTTTCTACATGTTCTTAAGTGCTTGATTTGGAGAAAATCACATTATAAACTGCACTTACATGTGTGACAGGTAGCTCCAGTGTAACCCGTCCCATCACAAGAGCAGCTGAAACTGTTCCAGGTTTGAGTGCATCGCCCTCCATGCTCACAGTGATTGGGCATACATCTGGAAGAGAGGACAGCACATCATTAGAGCAGCCGAACCTAAAAATAGGTCTAAACCGGCCTTACATCAAACATCACTGCTGGCTTATCCTTCTATTCAGTGTCATGGCATTTCACCCAGAGGAGAATGAGTCAAATTAGCACCTTTTTTTTTATCCTTTTCTGTCTGTCTTTCTCTTTATCCATGAGGGAGCGGATGCTCGGAGAGGCTTTATGATGGTTTTGATGTGAGCGCTCATTGGAACACATCATTAGAGGCCGAGCTGAATAAAAATGGAGCATAAACTGACAGAGGCATCCACGCTCAGCCTACATTTAACAGAAAAAAAAAAAAAAAAAACAACTTTTTGTTGAAGTTTACACCATTGCGGTAAAATAAATCCTTTCATCAGAAAAGTTTCCAGGACTGAAAGGCTGCAGGAGGATCATTTGAAACAGACCTACGTTTGGACCTGGAGGCATGTGCATTAGCCATCATGCAGAATCTCTGAAAAACCACCATTAGGGAAAGTCTAGCATCACTGCCAACATATATGGTGCATATCGTCACTGTCGGAACAGAAACTCATATCTCTGTTAGGGACTTGCATTGTGATTAAATCTGATATTTGAATATTCGTAAGAGTTAAAGAGGCTTTCCGGATAAAATGAAAAATGTAACCATGACTACATCTGTTGCAATCATGCTTACTCGCCTCCTACAGTGGTGCTGCAGTACCTCTAGAGTGAGATTTTCCACATTAACAATTTAAGATCTGATGACATACCTTGAAGGTAGGAGGAACTTTCAAAAAACTATAAATGCTTTAGGGTGGGATTTTCCCCCAATTTAGACATATCCACCTACTAGTTAGGACTCCCCCATCACATGATCCCACGCTAGGAGGGCGAAAGCTAGCACAGGCTTCCTCCAAAGATGTTTGAAGCACCACTGCATCTTTTCGAACTGCCTCTAACGCCACATCATTAGACAGCTGAATGCGCTCGGAGGAAAACGCCAACTGCCAATTCTCTTACGTCAGCTAACAGACATCTGTGCTGACTAGCATCGGGTGATTGGGGGAGACAGAGGGGGCCATCCTACCTACCCATAGAGCAAGGCCAACTGTGCTCTCTTTTACTCCCGTCCACGAATGGCCGTAGCATCACCAGGGTTTGAACTCAATCTCATGATGATAGGGCTTAGACAGTTGCACCACTCTGGGCTGGTTTGGCTGATTTTTTAAGTGAAAATAAGTGAACACATCCTCTACAAAGAACACACTTACATTCTGACTTTTTTCTGCAAATTGTTTTGCACAATTTCTATTTACTTGCTGAATTGAACATATTGAAAAATAATAAAAACAAACTATAAATGTGCCACAACATTTCCACAGGCCACATTTTCCACTTAAATAGGTTAAATTCATATTTAATCTGTAACTTCAGGAAATAAACAGTAATTGTGCATTAAAATATGCCGAAGTGTGTTCTCCCCTGAACAGAATAGCATAGAATAATTTACATAAAATGGAAAGTTCTCTTTAGCACTGGCATATAGAAACACTACACTATACACACCAAACATAATAAAGATACAAAAAGTAATTTGACCCCTACTATGTATAAAAGAAGGATCAATAATATACTCATTACAAAAGGGGAGAGGAGGGGAAAAAAAAATCCCAGAACAGACAATTACACACAGTAATCAAAATACACCACAGATCCACTGACTACTACAGCAAACGGCTGTAGTAACTGTCGTCAAATTGTGATTACAATGGAGTGAACTGATTAGTCAAACCAAAAAAAAAAAGACTCGTCAGATGAGGAGGACAACAAGCTAAAAGCTCCAGCCAGCAACATATCTGTTGATTAAATTTGGCTCCTTTTCTTCAGCTGAAAGGATAAGTAGGCGATGTGCCAAAATTTTGGCCAGCGAAAATTTTTGTGTTAGATATTTTCCAACCTCTGTTTATTGTTTTTGTTGCTGCGCTTTTACAACTGATATGTAAATGAGCTCTGTTCTGACTAGCTGCCCTGTACTGAGCTGTGTATATGTGTATATGTGTATATATATATATATATATATATATATATATATATGTGTGTGTATGTATATGTATATATACACATACATACACACTTATGGGGAGCCAACTTTAGCTACTTTGTGGTTTCTGTATTTACTTCTGGGTGAACACATTCCCTCTCTAATGCGATATCTTACATTAAGTCCCACCAATGCCAGAAAATAAAAGCTTGAAAAAGAAAGGGAAAAAAAGCCTGCTGCTGTGGGTTGTTCACATTGCTAAAATCTAATGGTTAATGATCATCAGGTCACATATCTTTAGGATTATTGAGAAAGTTTTAATATTTTCAGTCGAGTTGCCAGCACCATTTACAAGCTACCTGCAATAATACTACTACTACTACTAATAATAATAATAATAATAACATACATTTTACAAATGAGTTAAATATGATAATCATTGGTTGAATAAAATGTTGATAATGAATAATATTACATGGACACTAATTATTTAATTGGGCATTTATTAGAATTAGGTCTGTTCTTGCAATAGGAAATGTGGACTTGAATTTATATTGTATTTGTATACTTAAAATCAGATATGCATGGAGAATACTACAATGTTAAATCAACTTTTGCTATTTGCTATAAAGTGCCCCCACAATACGCCTTTGTAGCACATCAGCCCCACCTTCACCAAAGTCTGTGCATGTGACTGATTGGTTGTAGGTTAATACTAGTAATTCCAAAGTGAAATGACAATATGTTATCATGTCATCTCTTTGAAGCAAAAAGATATTAAACTGAAGGCATATGAAAGCCAAAATCATCAGTGGAAGATTAAGCTTTGATGGTCTAATACCAGAATCCTATTGTACTCCTATCATAGAGTGACCTCTGCTCTTTCTAGCCTTTCCTAAAGCCGTTATCCTCCTGAACTCTGAGAATCAACACGATAAGCATTTCTCAAAAAGGCTGAACACACAGAGATTACACTGCTGTGGACACAAAGCAGACGAAAAATCAAGGCTGTGTAATTCCCATACAGAAAGATTAGTATTTTTAAGCTACGGAGATTTCCCCGCATATCCTTTATCTTCGTCTCCAGTGAAAGTCCTAATTAAAGTACCAAAGTTAAAACAATTAATGGCTTCACTGCCTTTCTCCTCGACGTAATTAGTCATCTTCAAAGGTGCTTTAAATTAGCCGAGGGATCAGAAGTGAAATACAGCGGCGTGTGCTCGCATTCCCCGAGACGTGGCGGCAAACGAGCAGAATATTTTCAAGGTTTCTTTTCTCGTCTAGCGCATGTCAAATCCATTAGCACAGCCGATTCTGGCGTGAAACAAAATTAAGCAGCAATCCTACTTGAGCTAATGCTCGTTAGGCCAGCGCCTCATGAGAAGAGCTGTGAATATGGAAGTATTCTAGACCTCTGCTCTGCCACTCCTCCTGTGTGGTGAGTGTAGGTGTTCTGCTGGGACGTTTGCTGTCAAACCCGGCCCTCTTGTGACAGGACGTCCAGATTAATTGGGTTAGCACCCTGACCATCTGCGCCTGGAGCAGTGGAACTCAGCCAGAGAGTCTACTTTATGCTTTACCTGCATGCAGCACATACAGGGAGCATGACATGGCTGTAGGCACCATTTGAAAGCCCCACCAGGCCCAACGACAGGATTCATTAGGCATGGGGACAAAAGAAAATACTCATGGAGCAAAACTTCCTTAACCCAGAAAACTGCTAGTGATACAGGCTTATCTGTTTTTTAACCAATCATCACATGACATCTAATTTTCTTTAGGCACTATCATTAATGCAACACAGCAAGAAGCTAGCAGTGTTGGGCAATTAACATAAGAAATGTAATCTGGTACTGATTACAAATTACACAACTAAAAATTAGTGGTGAACTGTGAACATTTAGGGACTGCTTGGCCTTTAGTTCAGGCTATTAATGTCAAAACATGAGGAAAAAAAACACTTTTACAATAAGGCTAAATTCTGCTAGCACTCCTATGAGATTTTTTGTATGTTGGTGCAAAGCTAAGGGTGGTGCACATAAACATTTCTTGGCCATTCCAGGTTAAATTCAGACATTTGAAGCTTGTATGTATCAGTTTTACAGTGACTCTTTCAGTAAAGAGTCCTGGCACAGACCTGCTGCTACTGTTTACCATTCCTAAGAACAAATTGAAACCTGGTTAGACTACCACTTGAATTCACAATCAGTGATGAATCTAGGACTTCCAGAAGGCCTAGAGTGATTTTTTTGATGTACAAAAAATTGTCCCATTGTAAATCAAAACATTTCCTCTGCCATTTTCTTATTATTTTGGTTAGTTAATCTAATATGTAAGGCATTCAGTTCAGCTCCTGAAGTCCTGACCAATGGGAGAGTTCACTTAGCTGTGTCAATCTAGATACCACAGAGAAAAATCATGACCACACAATTTTCTGCTTCACAAAAATTGCAGATGATTCCATTACATACAAATATACAGCCATGCATTTGTTAGTTCCCAGAAGCCTGAAAGCCTAGAAGGTTTAACGCTACAATATATGTAACCTTTTATAACTTCATTATTTGGTATTCATAATTGACAAATTTGTAAAAACCTTTAAACCATCTGAGGATCCCTAAAATCTCCTCACCTTATTTTTCTTTCTCCATTCCTTCTTTGTAGACCCACTCAGTAAATTAGGAACAAACTGATCTTTTGCCTGATCAAAAATGTAATTATTACAAACAGTAATCCATAAACACAATGTAATGTGATTACGCATATTTTCAGAGGTTTCCTGCTCTATCATAAGTGTTTTATTTTGTAATGAGATTACATAATCCAGATTACCAGAATTTACTACCAAACACTGCTAGCTAGCCCAAGTTAAGCAATGATAAAACATGTAATGTACGTTACAAAATATGGCTAAATAAAACATAACATCTAAAGGCATCTCAATAAGTCTCCACCAGTCATCC